TTTCTCCCCCCCCCCCCTCCTCATACGTACGTGCAGCCATCCATCCATCCATCCATAGGTGTCACAACTTAGGTACGCAGGCAGGCAGGCAGGCGGGCATGTAGGTTACGCTAGCTGCTATGGCGTGTGTGGTGTGTGGTATGTGTGTGTGTGTCGATGTGAGTCTGTCCTTCACTCCTGGCAGAGGAAGAACTCGTCCCCGACGTCGTAGTCCTCGAATCGCTTGAGTGTGCTCTTGGTGCGTCGGGATCGGCGGGGTCGCCTGGCCTCGTCGTCGCCCTCCTCATGCTCGTCGTCGTCGTCATCGCCGCCCCGCTCGCGGCGGGCACGCTTGCGGGCCACGGCGGCACTGACGCGGAAGTCCTCGTCATCCTCCTCCCAGTCTTCATCTAAGCCCTCCTCGTACGCCTCATCGCCCTCATCGCCCTCATCGCCCTCCTCGTCATCCTCACCACGGGCAGCAGCCCTGGCAGCAGCCGCAGCACGCCCACGGCCGCGAGACCCGCCACCACGCCCCCGGCCACTGCATCGCATCAACCAACCAACCAGCATTCCCACACAGATGATGCGAGTGTGGGTGGGTGTTGGTTACTTACCGTGCGGGAACGGTGCCAGTTTCGAAGATGGAGGCCGCGGCCGCCAGCGAAGCCGACACGCCCCTGTGGGCACAAACGAGACCAGAGCAGAGGAAGATGTCATATATGTGATGGGTTGGTGCGTTGGCTGACCGTCCTCCGCCTTGTTTGCCGGCCACGGCGAGCTCGGCCTTGACCTGCTCCTCCTCAGAACGACCAACTCTGATGATATCACATACACACACACAGAGAGCATTGAGTCGGTGTCCACACGGCCCCTCCCTGTGCGCGTGTGTGAGTACCTACCTTCGCATTTCCTCCATGAGTTTCGACTGCCCCTCCTTGCCCTCCCCGTTGACCTGCTCCTGCCCCGCCACAGCCGCTATCTGCACCATCCGCGGCCCGCGCGGACCCGCCGGGGCCCTCACCGGCTGCTGAACCATCGCCGGCCGCCCATAACCAGGTGGCATGGCCCCGTATGGCATGGCGTACGGCATGTGTGCTGCCATCTGCTGAGGGTAGTACCACGCGTGCGGGGGCGCCTGCCCGGGCCGTGCTGCCGCATACCCCTGAGGCGGCATGCCGTATGGCGATGCCATGGGCCAGGGGTAGCCGCCCTGGGGCGGCGGGTACGATGGAATGGCGTGAGCCATCGGCACCGACGCAGTCTCGCCACTGACAGACAGACAGACAGGCAAAGGAGTGCAGTGACCACACAAAGGAAGGGATGCATCGAGCTGTCTGTATCAGTGGTTGCCGCACCGAACCTGGCGGGCTGTGACCCGGCCTGGCCGGCTTGCAACGTAGGCGATGATGCAGTTGCTGCACACACATACGACCGACCGACACCAGCGACAAAACAGCGCATCCATGACCCATCCTTGCACCCAGCCATTTACCCCTCCGTGTCACAATGTGTGTGCGGTACGGTACCAGGAGCGGCTGCTTTAGGTTGTGCGAATTGGTATTGGGCTGGTGGCTGAACGTACGGTGCCTGAACGCCATATGGTGCGGCAGCAGCGGGCGCCGCCTGGCCGGCCATCATGCCCTGGGTCAGCGGGTCGCCGGGGTGCTTCATCTGCAGCCGCTCCCTGCAGGTGAGTGGCACACACATACACACACAAGAGAGATGGACGCCTGTCTGTGCGTTGCTGTGGCCGAGGAGGGACGTGCTGTGTGTCGTGTGTGGCAGGCAGGCAAGCCTACTGAACAACGCTGTAGTATCGGGTCTTGACTTCTTCAGGTGAACTGCACACACACATCCATCCATCCATCCAGACACCAACACACAGCCACCATTCCGTACGCCAGCATTCAGTCCGTCTCAGGCTTTGTGTGTGTGAGTGTGAGATCCACCCCACCCTCCACACACCTCTTCGGGAACGACTTGGCCACTTCCTCCCAGTTTATCTCCTCCCCTTTCTCCTGACACAGCTGAGCCAAACGCAGATCCTCCTCGTCGGTCCACTGGGCAACCTCCACACCCTCTGAACCGCCACACACAGAAACAAATGTCTCACAGCTTTGCCAACCACGCCAGCGCGATGTTGGTTCCGTTTACCCTTGGGAGCCTCCTCCTGCACACATCCCAACCGACAGCGAGGCCAGAGGTGCATGCATTCGGCCACAGTGGTGCATCTGTGTGTGGTCTGACCTGCTGTCCTAGGGGTCTGCCGACGGCGACGCCGCCGGCATCCTGTCCGTTCTGTTGCTGGTCACCGGTCGCTTCGCCCTCGGTGGGCTGCAACCCCTCCACGGGAGCTTCCTCAGACGCCATCGCACCCCGAGTCTACACCCTTGTCTCGATGCAATGGCGGGAACTTGAAACTTGGTACAACGGCAATTCACACACAAACCAACCCACGACGCCTCCCTCTACGCCACACGCTTCCCGCTTTCCCCCCCTTCGCAGAAATGCCGGCGATCGTTTCGAAGCTCGCAGTCCTTAACACTTCCCTGGACCTTTGGGGACTTCTGAGGGGCTTGTGAAGGTGCCTGAGGTGCCTTGGAGCATAGAGGAAGCGTCAGGTTCGATCGCGGTCTCGTGTCGGTTGTGAGTGGCTGTTGCGGCGATGGACGACGAGGGAGAGGTCAGAGGGGCTGGGCAGGCAGCCGGGCATCCTCACTTGAGCAGCCTGAGCGCACAATTTGCGAGAAGCAGCTTCCTTCTTGCGAGTTGATGGAATGTGTCCCTGTTCGTTGTGTTGCTGCATGTGATTTGCTTGACTCAGAATGAGTTTGTGACGGAGCAGGTGCAGGAAATCGCCAAACACGTGGGCAGAAAGAGCACAGAGAGGCTAGGCTGCAAAGCACGAGGGCAGCCGCACACGCTTGAGTGAGTGCCCGGCGTGGTGTGTGACTTTCATTCATTCAGGCCATCAACTCGACGTTGACCAACGTGACGTACACGCGTGAGAAGGTCAACCAGTGGTGCCAGCAGATCATCGACAGCTGCCTCAAGGAGCTATCGAAACTCGACAAGCCGTTCAAATACTGCGGTAGACATCCACACACGCAGAGAGAAGCACACGAGTGAGAAGGAAGGCACGGTTGTGACCGTACCGCCTCTCTCGTCTGTTCTGCTCGTGCCATGCAGTGACGTGCATCATCATGCAAAAGAACGGCGCCCCGCTGCATACGGCGGCGACCGCGTTCTGGGACACCAAGACTGACGGTCAGCCAGATTGACGGCTCCTGACTTGTGCGCGTGGCGGATTGTGTGTGTGTGTGTGTGTCAGGTTTGTGCTGCATGCAGGTTGGCAACGACACGATGGACTGCATCGTCACCATATACGCCATGCAGATCTGAGGCACAACACACTTAGACACACGCGTGAGTGGCGCGGTGCGGCGGAGTGGTGTGTGTGGTGTGTGTCCTGTACATAGTAGACGATGAGCGGCCGACTAAATGCACTAAATGCACGGCGGTGGTCTTTTTGCTGCGCATGTGTGTGTGTGCCCGCACGAGTGCCCTTTCTTCTTTCTACTTATCTCATTCATTCACTCAGTGATCATGTATCGTGTCGATGGACGAAGGAAGGAAGGCGTGCAATGGTATGTTTGGTGGACGGACGGATCGATGACTGCACGATCCCATCGCCCCGCCCACAGTGTGTTCCCGACTCGCTGACTGACGAGCCTCTGAGTCCTCATTCATGTCACATACACATGCACACACACGCACACACACACACGTGTGTCCATCACTCAGGATGTCTTTGCACATCTATCTATCCAGCAGTCAGGCAGGCAGGCAGGCAAGTTACTAGTCAAGCTGAGAGCCCGTCTTTGCACATCCTCTCTCCCAGTCAGTCGGTCGGTCCGTCAGCCGATTGACGGTGCTGTGCAGCAGCAGAAACCCGGACGCACTCCAGCACCCATATCAGTCATGCCCCCTTCCCACACACACACACCCCTAGCTCACCCAGTTCTCGCCCTCTCCTCCTCCCCCTCTCAGTGAGAATGAAAAAGCTGTGGCTCTCTGTCTCCGTGTCCGTGTTTGTGTGGCCCGTGTCAAAATCAGTGCTCCCCCCAACGTCCCAGACAAGCCGAATTCTCTCCTCCCTTGCCCCAATAGCACACAGGCCCCCAGACTCCTCTGCCTCCCCTCCCTCCCTCCCACTGCGACCACCTCAGTCAACTTCCTTAGCAAAGTCATCAGTCAAGAAAAGGGCTGGTGGTCCTCCCCGGCCCGTCTTGCATAGTTGCACCAGACCGCACACTGCCTGGGCTAATGCCCTGTATGGTTGGTTATGAGCGTCAACCGATCCCTACCTCAGCACGACAGACAGACAGACAGACAGGCAGATACACAAAAATAAGCCAAGTGTTGGATGGGATGGAGACAGCTCTGCCGGCACGGATGTCTGTCTGGCTCACTGGGCTGTCTGGCTCACGCCCCCCAGTACCAATCCGTGTAATTTGGGATGTGCTGCGTCGGCGCCAGACGCCAAGTCAGCAAACAGACAGACAAGCCACAAACCGATGCTGTGCTCCATCCATCCATCCAGGTACACGTAGAGCAATGCAAGGCAGCCATACACCCCACCCCACCCATTTCTTCCTAAGAGAAGACGCAGGTGCAGCCCGAGAAGTGGGCTGACCTGACACTCACTGCAGTAAGTCAGTCAGTCAGTCAGTCAAATTGATCAGGCACACCGGCAGGCAGGCAGGCAGGCAGGCAGGCGACAAACAGCGTATGAGAAAGTGGGCATCCATCCATCCATCGACACATGGGCAGGAGGCATGAGCTACTTGCTGGCCAGCGACGACAGCTCGACAGAACACCGGAACATCGGTCTGTCGGCCGGTCTGTCGCTGGTGCCGAGCAAGATGGCTGAGAAACAGGAGGGAGCTAGCCGACACGAAGGCGTGATATCTGCACGCCCTGTCGTCAAGTCAAAATGATCCCCATTCCTCCCAACACCCATCCCTCCCCCCCTACCCCCCCTACAATGCAGTAGCCTTATGATGTACGCCTTGCCGCGATTGCAGTCCCTGGCCCTCGTCGCGGCTAGAAGAGGCAGCAGAGGGGCCGGCCGGTGGCTGAACACACAGACACAATTTAGGGGAAACATGGGTGGGTGTCGGTGCGCTCATTGCTCCGTCATGTCCGCGTACCCGTGGCGGTGTCCGTGGGTGCGGCGGGGGTATCGACCGCGCAATCTGCTGCATGTACTGAATGTATACCTCCCGCTCCTCAGCCAGGACGTCCTCAGCAGGCAATGGGCTCGGCAGAGGGCTCTGCAGGCTCCCAGCCGAGGCGACGCCGCTCTCTGTGTGCCGATCACTTGGCTGCAGAGAGTGCTCCGACGCCGCCTTGACGTTGACCTTGAAACGAGCGGGCCGCACACGCAGATCCGTCACCTGCTGCTGAGAGCTTGACTGGTCAGTATCTGCTGAGATGTCCTGCGGTGGCTCGGAAGCGAACTCGAGGTCGCCCAGCTCCTCCATCTCTCTCAGGAGGGCGGAGAACTTGACGAAGCCATAGTGTCGTTCGTGAAAGGAGGGGTCCACCTGCACCTCTGACATGAGAAGAAGACATGACAAACAAGTGGTGCTGATTGAGGAAGGAGGCGGTAAGGAATGCGACGGCAACGGCTTTGTGAGTGACTTAGTGAGTGAGTGGGTGGGTGCTTACTGATCAGTGGCTTGAGCTGCGAGAGGAGTATGCCGGACTCCTCCTCCACATTGCTCTCCAGCAGGTCGCGGATACTCCGACGAATGACATCCCACCGAGGACCTGACGTGCACCACACACATCACATGACATAGGTAGGTACATTCAAGGGAATTTGTGTGCGCCCCGTCTGTTGATGTCGGGTGCTTTGCTTACGGTTGGGGTCCCTGGGCTCCCTCGCACCACTCCTGACTCCCCTGCCCCTCTTCTCCTGCCGCCCTCGCCCCCGGTAGCCATACCCCCGACCCCTCCCGTCGCCGCCGTAGTGATAGAGCCCAGCCGACGGATGTCCCGCACTCAGTGGAGCCGGCATGGGCAGCAATCCACTGCCAAAGGCGCCGTGCATGGGTGGCGCATAAGCGGGTGGAATGGGTGGGGGGCCGGAACGAGCATGATGGTGCGCCGGCGGCTCCCTCAGCGTCGTCACACTCGAGTGCCGGTCATCGGAGTGAGTCATGGGGCGCGAAGGGGGCGGGAGGATGAACGGATGGGGCGGGGCTGATGGGTGGTGATGGCTGAGATGAGGGTCGCTGTGCCTCAAGGTCGCAGCCTGCTGCCTCGGGTCAAGATATGGATCACCGCTGTCATCCAGGCCACCACTCAGCGGCCCCACTGGAGGTTCACGATAAGGCGGTGGTAGCAGTGGGCTCGCCTCCGCGACCAGCCGACCGTCATAGCCCCGCGGCTTGCCTTCCCCAGTGTGCCCAGCTGTGGGCAACTGAGGCAGAGGCCCCCTTCCTCTCTCACACGGCGACTGCGACGAGGTCAAGGTTGAGGCCGTCGGTGCGTGCATGAGAGGAGGGAGAGCAAGTGTGGTGCTGGTGCCCGAGCTCGTACGCCCCATGTACTCAGTTCCTGTGGTGCTGTCATCTCGGTAGAGGTCGGTCACCAGCCTGGACGCACTCTCGGGCGCTGACTGCGGCGGAGCGGGAGGGGGCGCAATCATTCGACGTGTGTGAGGCTGATAGGACGAGCCATAATGCGTCGGCTCTCGATAGAGTGGCGGCGGCTCCGGGTGGTCTGTCACAGAGTGCTCGGGATGCTCGGGATGGTCGTCCATGCTGCGCGCCCAAAGGATGCCACTCGGAAGCATGGAAGAGGCCACGAACGCATCGCTGTGCGTGTGCTGAAGGTCGTAGGTGTCCGACAGTGACGCATCGCTCCCATCCACAGGCAGGGGGTAGTCGCAGAGCGGAGGCGGAGGCGGAGGCGGAGGCGGACTGGCTCCCTTGGGCCGGAGAGGGACATCGTCTGCCTCATAGGGCGGCGGCAAGCTGCTCATGTGGCCGGCAAGACGGCCTCACTCAGCGTCAAAGGACTCTCATGACTTCAAAGCCAGCTCCGTCCGACAAACCTAAATTGCAGCGACTCCATGAGAGTCAGAGCTGGAGGAAGGACCGCAACCGGGGGGAGAAAGGGTGGGGGCTTGGGGGCTGCGAGCTGCAAGCTCATGCACACATGTCAGAGTCGTTGTCGCGTTTCACCTCCCTCTACCTTGCAGAGCCCTGAATTGTGACGATGAAGCGCATCCCCACCGTATCAGAGTCCTCTCAGAAGGAGGATGCCTCCCCGGCACTCCCCAAGACACCCTCTGCACTCGCGTCGAGCAGCCCAGCAAAGGTAGGCACCAGCCGCACGATGCAGAGCCATGCGTGGTCAGTTGACACGATGTTCATGGATCGCAGGCTGGGAGGCCGACTTCACGGGGCCGGGCGGCGGGAAGCAGGAGTGGCAGTGCAGGCTCGTCGGGGAGCGGAGGGAGGGACAGTGTGATGTTCAGCCAGCCTGAGGAGGTAGAGGGTCTCGCCAAGTCGCAGACTTTGCGGGAGCCAGGTGAGCGAGACACTCACTGCCATGATGAATCAATCGGTGGCTTTCATCCATCCTTTCTGTCCATCCGTCAGGTAGCAAAAGTGCGTCGGCGAGCCCGAAGCCTGTCCCGAGCGGCCAGACGCCGCCCAACCCCACTCGAGGCCGCCCCAGCCCCCTTCACTTCGATGCCGACACTTCCCCAGCTCCCTCACCTCTGCCGACCTCCCATGGATTCAGGTCGTCCCTCGCACAGATACCGGAAAGTCCTACACCAGGTGGGAGGAGAGAGAACCGTCAGAAGGTGTGCTTGGTGTGGATTCCCTTGTTGTTGTGGTCAGCTCCCGTGCTGAAGCTGACGTCCTCGTCTGCAGCTGGGTCGCCGACCCACTCGCAGGCCGGGCCGTCACCAATCCTGGCGGGCCTGGAGGGCGAGAGAAAGAAGGCCCGGGCGAAAGCCAAGGGGCGAGGGTCGGCGGGGTCGGACGACGCGGGTGCGGCCAACCTCTATCGCACGGCCTCACAGGCGTCGCAGATGTCTCAGCCATCAATGTGAGAGTCACTCATGCATCCGTCACATAGCCGACATGCAGAAGAAGCACGTGAGTCCTCTCTCTTTTTCCACAGGCACTCGAGCCAGCTGAGTCAGGGCACCAACGCCCGCGGTTCCACCGACAGAGAGGCCGCCACTCCCCCGGCACCTGACACGTTTCATGCCAACGCGCCACGTCTCAGCCTGAGCCAGCGACAAGAGGGCAGCCTGCAGTCACCCCCCTCTCCCACTGGCAGGAAGACCTCGCCAAGCCCTCTTGGCACGGGGCCTCGACCAATCATTCGGCTGGGGAGCAGAGGTGGGGAGGGGAGACGGCCAGCTGCCAAGTCGGTGTCAGTAAGCCCGAAGACGGCGGAGGGTGTGGCCAAGAGAGACGTTCGCCCCAGCACAGTGGGGCCGGCGGCGAAGCGCGGCAGCGTGCCGGCTGACAAGGTGGCTTTGCCGTATGCTAAGTTGTGGAAGCAGCAAGTCACTATCAAGAAGATGTCCAAACAGATGGAGCGAAAGGAAGTAGAAATTGCCAGGTCAGGGCGAATGAATGTCTCCCCACCCGAGACAAGCCGTGTCTCCCCACCCAATGAATGTCTTCCACACGCCATCCATCCATCCATCCACTCCATCCTGACATGACATGTGTGTGTCTCTCGTTGGTGTGTGCAGGCTAGCTCAGCATGTAGAGGAGGTAGAGGGCGAGCACCCCTCCGTTTTGCCTCAGGGCAGCGGGTCGTCATACGACTCGCGAAGGTCGTCCGTCCTCTCCACCTCGGGAGGACCCGAACCACTACCGGGTACGCAAAGGCAACACATCACGATACAAGCAGCACCCTCAGCTATGTGCCCTCTTTCTTATCCCTGTCAGTCTTCCCTGCCCCTTCACGAGGCGGCGGTGGTCTGGCCGTCCCAGCTGCAGCTGCCAGCCGCAACCGTCGAGCATCCATCGCGGTCATGAGCACACAGCTGCCGACCAAACCGGGCCCTTTGATGGCCGCCATGGCGGGGGGTGGAGGTGCGGGGCCAGGCAGCATCGGGTGGAGCGGCACGTCGAGTGGTCAGCGGCGGCCGTCGGGCATTCGCGAGAAGCAGAAGGAGCAGATGGTAGAGGAGCTGGTGCAAAGTCTGGACGATGCTCAGCTCAAGATAGAGGATCTGCAGCAGGAGATCCTCACCTACCGTAAGGACCGGTCGGACAAGTTCAAGCTCGAGAAGCAGCTGTTCGACCGAGACAGAGACATCGCTCTCGTAGAGGCCAAACTCAAGACATCGGAGGTGCGTGTGATCGATTCGCTTGTGGATTGACTGGCCGTGGATGGATGTCTCTGTGTGTGGCAGGAGGAGACAAAGAGGCTCCGTCGGAACTACGAAAACGTCGAGAAGGAACTCCTCGAGCTACAGACACAAATCACAAAACTCCAGGACAAAGGTCAGTCAGTCGCAACACCGCACACTGTTCAATCGCCTGAATGGGTGTTGGTTGCTGGCTCCCACAAACCAATCCGACATCCACGACGCATGCAGTGCAAGAGAGCGAGGCCAAGGCGCAGGAGTCGGCATCCAAGGAGCACGAGGAGCTCCGCCAACAGCAGTGGTTCAGAGGACAGCGGCTGCTGCTCGAGGCCAAGTAGGAGAGACATACAATACACACAAGTTGGAGGTTCCATGGAAGGGTGCGCCTGCCTGCACTGTAGGGAGAGGGAGATGGGCGCCAAGATCGACAACCTCAAAAGCGAGTAAGTGAGAACACATCAGGTGCACTACCGCACCTATGTGTCTCTTGTCTGCCTGGTGTGTGTGCGTGTGTGTGTGTGTGTGTATTCAGTTTCGTGATTCAGAAGAGCTTTTTGATGAGTGAGGTGGACCGCTGGAAGGGACAATGCGAAGCGCTGAAAGGTGCGCACCGACAACGGGGGCATGTGCCATCCATCCTGTTTCTATGCGTGTGTTTTGCCAGCCACGCTAAAATCCGTCCAGGAGCAGCTCAAAGAGAAAGAGGTACGTACGATGGGAAGCATGACGGGACTCGGCAGATGTGCATTCATGACCCTTCATCTCCCCCCTCTTCGTGCAGGAGTTGGTCGGCAATTTGCAGAAGACGCGAGGCGGCAGCGGTCGCAGCTCCAACATAGAAGCGGGGTCTCTGGCATCAGAGCTGGCCATCGCACAGCTGGAGGAGGAAAGGGCCGCGCGGCGACGCGCATCTATCGACACGGCAGCTGCAACCAGCTACCGAAAAGACGCTGTAAGACAGCAGGGCGCCGGCAGAGGACATTGTGCGTGGACCTGTTTGTGCGTTTGTTTAGGGTCCCCGTCGTCAGTCGGCGTTCGGGCGTATCCCCTCCACCCCCAAACTGATCGAGATGCCCCATGAAGACCTGGAAGAGTCAGAGGAGGAAGAGGCGCCCCGCCTTTCTCTCACACCCCCTCCCCCCTCAACAGCAGCTGGCAGGGGCAAGAGCGTCCCCGCCAAGGCCAAGGCCAGGGCGGCAGCGGCCAAAGGCAAGACGCCATCGATCTCTGTGTCTCCGGCACCCGGCGGGAGGGGGGCAAAGAGCAGCATGACGGGGCGGAAGGGCGACATGCCTGTTGTGGTGATACCGGAGGACCTCTCGAACAAGAAGGCAGTGCTGGACCTGCGGAACCAGCTCAGGCAGCTGCAGGCCTTTGCGACCAATGCCGACAGATACAAGTGAGCTGACGGGCCGGAGAAACCCTGACAAGGCACCTTACTTGACCTGTCTGTTGACTGTGCAGCGGCGAGCTCGAGGTGAAGGCGGAGGAACTCAGTTCACGCCTCTTGCAGGTCGAAGACGCACTGCATTCTTTTCCTGAGTGACAATTCTTCCTTCGCCATATATGTTTCAGCTGGAGGCATCGGCCAGTGAGACGGCCAAGACCATCGCTGCAAAGGACGCGCAGATCGAGAAACTGGAGAACGACGTCAATGAGATCCGGGACAAGTACTTCGACTGCGTCAAGAAGACCGAGGAGGACCGCCGCGACCTCGAGAACCAAAGGGTCAAAGCTTTGGCTTTTGTGAACCAGATGCGCACGCAGAGCCAGAACCTCCTCGGCGAGTTCAAGCGCCTCCAGATCCGCTTGATGACGCTGGAGACACACTCTGCCGAACAGGCTGTGGCAAATGCCCTGCTGACTGAGAAGCTGAAGCAGCAGAGGGGCGGCATTGAGACGACGGAAATGGGTGTTGGGCCGGGAGATACGCCTCTCGCCCAATCGTAAGCTCTCGGCAAGGAGTGACTGACACAAAGGAAGACGAGTAAACCGCACCCCCTTTGATGGATGCAGGGTAGCGAGCCCCAGCGCCATTCTGAGCGCATTGGCGTCCCAGCACAACTTCAGCGCCATCGCTGCCATCGACGAAGACGAAGAGGAAGAAGACCTCGAACTCAGAAGTAAAACCAACCAACCAACCAACCAACCAACCGACCAGTCAATCAATCGGTGTCTGTGCTCGTTCCGTTTGTCTGCAAACCCCGCCCAGGTTCGATGGAGATCGGTGGTGAGATCGTTGAGGTGCCTGAGGTTGTGGAGGGGGGCGAGGACGAGGCCCCAGAGGACGGCACCACCGGCGGCACCAAGAGGATCCGAATGAGACACATGGTCACATTCGACGCCAACTCCAAAGAGGGCAAATTTCTCAGACGACTCAACACCGCCACAGCCAACATCCGCCAATTCACTCAGGTATGTGTACTTGCCTTGATAATCTAGATGACTGCCTGACGTGCATCCTTGCGTGACCATCTCTCTTGGCATCAGCACTTGGACGAGATGAGTCCGGTGGCTGCCGCTGCTAATGCCGACGCCGAGCGCCGTTCCTCGCTGGCCCTGAGCGCCTCGCCGCGTGACTACGCCATGTTGGACCACCATCCACTCGTAATGGCGCTGCGCCAGCGGGTTGCTGAGCTGGAGAGCCGTATCACGGAGCTTTCTGAGGAGGGAGGAGCTCCACCTGCGGCACTGCAACACGGGGCATCGATGGTGAGGCAATGCGCACGCACTACCGGTTGACGCATGAAGGAAGGCCCTGCGGCTGGCGTGTCTGTGTGTGTCCCCGCAGACGCTAAGCAGTGTCATGGAGTCTTCGCCCACTGTCAGAAAGACCATCGGTAAGCAAAAGAGAGGCTCGCTTGCTTCGGTCCACGGAAATAAATGTATAGCGCACTTCACTTTGCCTTTCAGAGGACCTCCGACAGAGAAATGAACGGCTCCACCAGCTGTACATGGAAAAGGAGCAGCAGCTCGCAAGATTCAGGTGCGTACCTACATAGTTCACAGGAGCACGTCACCGCTCAACTCCTTCCATGGCCCTGCCTGCCCTGCCCAGGTCTGAGTTCAAGCAAGCTGTCGGCAAGATGGCCGAGTTCCGCCACTGCTTCGAGGAGCGTCTCAACCAGCTCAATGACCAAGTGCAGTACCACATCCAACACGCCGCACAGTCCGACACACAACAACCGATACCCACCGCAGCCGTCGGACAGGTAACCGGCCACCAAGACGGTACATGGTGCATAGTGTGTCATGTGCGAATCCCCCTTACAGGCTCTCCAGTATGGCGAGATTTTCCTCGCCGGCATCGCCCAGCGCATCGAGCAGATCGGCGGCGAGCCCGCCACCCGTCAGCGCCAACCACGGCCGTCATCACCCTCTCCGTGCATCAACATATGCACCAGCAGCCCACCACGAGCGCCTCGACAAGAGCCGCCCGCACGGCCTCGGTCGCTCCGAATCCCCAAACTAGTCATCTCGCCTGTCTCGGCGCCGATCTCGCCGCGCGCCAGTGGCCCGAAGGCAGCCAGCCATGTTGACCAGCGAAGAGACACTCGAGAGCGCGGTGGGTTGGGAGAGGCGCCTTTGTACGTGCCGTACTGTCGGTCGGCACCGCCGTCACCGAGGGGGCCCCTCATTCGACAGGTAACGATTGGCAGAGAGAGGTGTGTCCATTGATTGACGTGGCCATCGTGTCCTTTTCTCAGCGCCAACTGTGGATACACCGAGCGCTGCACCACTTCCGTCACAGGCTGGTCCGGCAGTTTGTCGAAGATGAGATCAAGGACAGCACGTCATCAGCCTTCAGCCCGCCGAATGTGGTCAACCTCTGCCCCCAAATGGGGCCCCCATCATTCGGCCTCGCCGCCGCCCTTCACCACCCCACCCCGCCACCCAATGCTCTCCACCTCACACAGCCCTTCAACAGCGACCAGGCGCCCCTTGTCAATGACGGGGCACCTCTGCCGCCCAGAAGGACAGTCGACAGAAGCGCACCGATGACCGCGCGCTATCCTAATGGCAGCCCCCACCACACGTGGCGTTCCATCCCGATCCCGCCCAACCTCATGCAATCGGTCCGGAATGCCGTGTCTCCAATGCAACCCGGCCCGATGTCTGCTCGGTACCATCACCCACCCCCCGGACATCACCCTCCGAAGAGCGCCCTGCCTTATTTCTCGGGACATCACCCGTCACCTCTGTCTCCCCCTCCTGGCCCGATGGTACCCCCCCTTTATTTCCCATCCACATCTGTCCCGCCTTCGTCCCGCGCCAGGCGAATCCCTCCCCTGCAGCTGGGCAAGGTCAGCGCCCCGCCCAACAGCCATCGAGTGTCCATGCCTAATATTCACCATACGGCAGCCAAGACACCGCCGCCTCCGGCCCCCCCACCCTCATTCAGACACACGCCGTCCCTCAAGCAAATGATGGGGGTGCGGGGCAAGAGTGCGCATCCCAAAGCGTGCTGCGGCTTCTTCCCTCCGCATCCCTCCAGCCCCAGCGGGTCGTCAATAATGCAGGACGACGGACGAGACGCAAGAATAAGACGGAACGGATCGCGCAAGAGCCTCGCAAGTCGTGCTGGGCCCTCTGCTGGGCCAGTGATGATGCAGCAGCAGCCGCATCATATTCCTATGGCGGCACCGATGACCAAGTATGGGGCAGAGAGAGGGAGGGGGAGGTGAACCAACGGTGACTACTGGGTAATTTTTCTTCAAGTTGTTGTTTGGAACGCCGAGTGGCGTTGGGTGTATGTGTGTACATGACATGTCTCTGTGTGGTCATGCAGTGGACATGAAAACTTTGTTGGCTTGCGTGCTGCAGTACTGAATTGTTATCGTCGATTCGTGTGTTGCCGGTACGCAAAGTCTTCATTCTTCAGTGTCCCACCCTCCCCATGCAGTCGAGTGCCTTTCCCCATCCACCCGTAGCAATCGCCCATGTCTCACGCACATTGCCCTCGTCGACAAGCCAGACAACCGGGACACCGTAAAGCAAAGCGATGGATGGATGGATCAAGGCCCTTTTGGGCGCTCTGCGTGGGTAGAACGCAAGGCAACAATCCTGGTGTGCGCCCACTTCACCTGTGGCCTTCAGCAGCCAGTACAGACAGTCCTTTTCCCCCTTGAGTGTATTGCCCCCATTCCCTTCTCAGCAAACAAAGATGACTTCAGTGGCAGAGCGACGGAACGCCAACATCGGAACACTCGTGCAGGGGTGTACTGTGTTCGTATGGGTGCATGTGTGGGTGGACTCAGCGTGAAGTGCGGCGGATGTGCGTGGAGTCAGTCAGTCAGTCAGTCAGTCCCTCAGACTCGTGGGTGAAGGATTGAGCCCGTGGGCGATGTATATGATGTTGATCTGGATGCACTCGATGAGGTTGTTGTCGCTGTCGTCAACATACAAGTAGTAGCTCTTCTCACACGCCTCCGACACCTGCACACACACACATGGACATCCATCCCTGTGGATGGTGGGACAGCTGGCGGCCGAATGACCTCTTTGAAGAGGATGGCGAATTTGCCCGTGGCGGCAGCGGCGATGGGCACCTTGTCCTCCTTGAGCACCATGAAGGCAGGATGGCTCGTGCGGAGATGATACACCTATCACACCGTGTACAGTGCTTTCTTGTTTGGATGTGGCTGTACATTCTTGCGTCCATCTCTTAACCTCACCTGGTCCTCCCCCGTCATGTTGGTGTAGGTGAGTTTCTGGTTCTTCTTCTGCCCGACGGCCAACCGAAGGTCGTAGGACTTGGACGGCTCGATCTCAGGATGAGTCCCCTCCCCAGCCTCACCACCACCCTGTGCGCACCCATACAACACAGAGACACGCGTCACAAGGAATCGACTGCATCCTCCATCCATCCATCCATCCATCCATTCGTACCATTTCAGCCTCCTGGGCCTTTTCCTCGCCCGTCTCGGCTTTGCCCTCCCCTTCGTCCTGCCCCTCCACCTCAGGCACGACAGCGACAGTCGGGTGCCTCGACTGCACACGAGTCACAGCCACACTCGTTGCCCCTGACTCGGGTTGAGGCACAGGTGTCTCGGGCTCTTCAGCCTTGGCAGCCTTGGCACCCTCCTGCTCGCCCTCGTCTGGCGGGGGGGTGGTTCGCGGCGGCTGGTCAGTTTCGATGTAGGTGACACTGACGGCGATGCAGTCGAGGATGGCGAGGTTCTCGTCCTCCACGTAGAGGTAGAAGGTCTTCTCACACGCATGGTCCAGCTGACAGACAGCAAGAGAGATGCAGTGGCATCATTGCGGGGTCACAGTGTCAAGCTTGTCTGTCTCACCTCCTTGAAACGAATCGAGAACTTGCCAGTCGTGCCTCGTCAAGTCAATGACAGACAGGGCACACAGCAGGCACAAGTGTAGCTGGTATATAGTGCTGAGAATGGGTGTGTGAATCTTCCTGGTACTCCGTGTGTCCCTACCTACCATTGGGTATGGCGACTTCATCCTGCTTCAACGTCATCAATGTGGGGTCGCTCGACCGAAGGTGGTACAGCTAAAGGTTGGAAGCAATGAACGACACCAGACCAGACCAGGCATTTACGTGACAGCGGCAGCTGCTTCCAAGCCCTCATTCTTTGGTGTCTATCTGCCGTACCTGGTCCTCTCCCGTGGTATTGGTGTACGTGAGTCGCTGGTTCTTGCCCTGCCCCACCGCCAGCTTCAGGTCATAGGTTTTAGAGGGCTCCATCAGCGGATGCTTCTGCAGCCACAAGATAGGCACACACACACCCAGACCATGTACCGTACCTGCATGTGTGGATCATCTACGGATCCTTTGGCGCACCTCTTCCTCTTTCTTTGGCTCTTCTTCTGCCTCGGCCGGGGCCTCTTCAACAGCCTCGGCCTTCTCTTCCTCCTTTGTCTCGGCCTCAGCCGCCGGGGCCTCCTCAACTTTCTTCTCTGCGACTTCCTCCTTTGCCTCGGGCTCAGCCGCTGGAGCCTCCTCGACCTTCTCTTCTGTGACCTCCGCCGCCTCTTCCTTGGTCGCCTCTTCCTTGGCCGCCTCTTCCTTGGCTTCCTCGACAGGGGCAGCCTCTTCCACAGCCACAGTGGCCGGCTGAGCCTGTGTTTCGACCTGCTCAGCCTCCTTCTGCTCCTCGGCAGGCGCCTCCGGCACTTCAGCAGCAGGGGCCTCCTCCTGTGGCGCTGCGGGCTCGGCCACCTCTCCGTCCTCGGTTGGAGGCTCTTCCTTGGGCTGCTCGGATGCCTCCACGGCCTCCTCAGCCGCAGGAGCAGGTGGGGCCTCCTCAAGAGCCTCGGCGTTCTCTTCCCCCTTCGTCTCAGCCGGGGGCTCTTCCTTGCCCTCCTCAACGATGGCGGGTGGGGCCTCTTCTTTCACCTCCTCCACAGGAGCGGCTTCTTCCTCGACTTTGGCAGGCTCCTCGAGTGGGGGCTCCTGCTGTGTCTCGGTCGGAACGGCCTCCTTCTGCTCCTCAACAGGTGCCGGGACCTCTTCACTGACCTCAACGGCGGCCACAGGGGCCTCCTGACCAGCGACAGGTTCCTCCTCCTTGGTCTCTGTCGGTGGGTGACGGTGCTCGGGCGACGTTTCTTCGACATGTGGGGCCACTGGCGTGGCGTCAGGCTCTCGGGGTGGAGGAGCCTGCACGTGTCGATGTGTGACAGAGCAAGGACACAGTGACATCGAGATGGGTGAGCGCTATTGCTCTGGTGGTGGATGCACCAACCTCTTCTTGTTGTGCGGGTGCTTCAACTGTGTCCTCGGTTACTTCCGGCTTGGCGGCCTCTTCCTCGACGGGCATCTCCTCCTTTGCCTCCCCTCCCTCCCCGACTGTTTCCTCCACCAGCGGCATCTCAGCTGTCTTGTCCTCCTCCTTGGCCTCCTGGACAACCTCGACAGCTTCAACGACAGGCGGCTCTGTCTTGCCAGCGAAGTCTTCAACGGGCGCAGGGGGGGCGCTGGAAGCACACACAAAACCAGGCATGACAGCACAACCTGTGCAGGTGTATGTGTGTGTTCGATGCAGTACGTGTCTGCTTGTCCCTCCTGTTGGTCTTCGAAGTCGGGTTGGTAGCCCTCGTCCGACTTGACCTCCTCTGGCACGGGCTTTTCCTCCTTCTCCTCCACTGGTGCCGGCTGCTCCTCCCCGACGACGGAGGGCTCCTTCACCTCAGCTGCACACGTCAGACATTTGAGGAGGGACCAAGCTGTATATGACAGAATTGCAAGACATTCACTTACCCTCGTCTTTCTCTGTCTCCTTTTCCTCCTCGGGCGGCTCCTCTTTGTGCTCTGGAACTGTCCGTGGCTCCTCTTCCTCAGGGATCTCAGAGACGGGCGCCTCGCTCTTGACCTCTGCCGGCGGCTCCTCGGCGGTCTTCTTGTCCTCTTCCTCCTCGGGCGCCTCGAAGGTCTCCTCGTCGTACCTCTCTGACTTGGTCTCCGATGGCACCATGACGACATCCTCTTTCGGCTCTTCCTTCTCCTCCACAACCATTGCCTCCTCCTGCTGCTCGGGTGGGCCCTCCTCCTTGGGCACCGTTGGCACAATGACGGTCGGCACCACAACGGGCTCGCGAGGGGGCGGGGCAGGCGGGGCAGGCTCCTCCACCATCTCGCGACGCTGAGGGTCCTCAGACGGTTTTGGTGGCCGCTCCTCCACCACGTTCTCCTGACGGTAAGAGAATGAGGCTTTCTTGCGTGTCCAAAAGCCTGAAATGTCCTCCATGTGGCGCACCTTTTTGTCTTCACCGAACGTCACAGGCGGTTTTGGTTCCTGCTCCACCTCCTCCCGTCTCTCTTTGGACACCTTGCGCTTGGCGGCCGGTCCGGGGGACTTGGCCCGCTGGCCGGGGCGTTTTTGGGGTGGCGACCTTGGCGAGTAGTAGGGCGACATGGCGAAAGCCTCGGGCATTCTGGATGTGCCACGGGGGCTGTCGGCTCTCTGCCTGGGGGGCCGAGGGCGAGGTCCTGGTGACTGGGTATGGTCCTAACAAACCAACAGAGACACCTCGCAACAATGGTGATCAAGAGAGGCTTCAAGACACCAGAAATGCCTTACGGGTGATGGTGCCCTTCCTGCTTGGCCGTTCTTGCCGCCCGGCGAGGCATCAGGAGGAGTGTACTTGGTCGGCTCCTCGGCAAACTGACCATTGTGAACGACATACACAATCGCCTTACACGCGCCACGTCCCTCTGAGCCCCACCTTGGCTATCTCCTTTGCGAGTTTGGACACGTTAGGCCAGGTGCCTGACTTGAGCTTCGAGAACATCTCCTGCATGACATGATGTGACAGACAAGTAGACAGGCAAGAAGAGGAAGCGGCAGTGTGTGTGATAATTTCCCCTTTCCTCTTCCAGGCTGACTGACCCGTGAGACGTTGCCAGACTTGACGCTGACTTCAAACGAACCACGCCTTGGGAAGCTGACAGGGAGAAACGACGCGCCATTGACCTCCCGGCCCATGACGGCGTGTATGTAGCCTTGTCGGGACTTACGACCACAGTGTGGGTGACCCGTCTGCTTGGCGCTTGAAGTAGATGCTCTCCATGTTGAAGTACGGCTTCCATCCGCTGGGCACTGGACAAGCACACCAAAGATGAGATGACACATGCAGGGAAGCCACTCGCCAGCCCCACCTTCATTGATCTTGATTGAGACCTCCCCCAGCTCGTCGTAGAGGGCCCCCTGACCACACCACACCCAAAACACACCCGCCATGCAGCCCTCTGTCCTGTCGTCCCCCCCTCTCATGCACTCACCGTTACTGCGTCGCACACTTGGGGATATTTCTCGACCTTGTATGTGGTGCTGAAGCCATTCGAGGTGCAGTACTCGATGCTGACCTCCACCGGATCCGACATCGGGCGGACAGCAGGACAGAAGAGAGCCTGACGCTCCAGCAGAGACTGGGGGGTGGGTGGGGGTTAAGCTCGCTGACGATTGGCGAGCGTCTTCGTTTCTTGAAGTTCCTTGCTTGCAGAGAATGGCGGCGACAAAGTGAGCTGCTACCCTTCGTATGATTGGAAAAATAAGATTGGCATCCCGCACTCGAGTAGCAGGGTTCGGGTTTTAGGGTTTGAGACTTCTAAAGGGCCCGTACAGCTCGCTGGGAGGCTCTGTTTCGCGTGTGGTGACGGATTGATGATACAGGCGATGCAAGAGAGGCAGCCCTTGGTGATCTGAAGGGACGGGACGAGTCCAAGGAGACCGACCGCCATTCATCGTCACCCAACCTGCCAGGCCCCCCTCCATCCATCGACAGCCCATCCCACTCAAGGCTGCCCATCCCCTCCCCCCTCTGATTGCCATGCGTGGCGTGTGGGCCCTTGTCACGCTCGCCGCATGGCTAGCCACGGCCTGCGGCGACCCGTACAGCTACCTGGCGCCCCGAGAGGGTGCCATGGACCTTTCCCAGTTCCCATCTGATTGCGGCACTGCGTGTCAAGGCGAGAGGGCCCTCCAAGCCAAGGGCGAGGAGGCCGAGTCGGCGACAGAAGGCGCCAAGGAGTCGGCCAAGGAGAGTGGCAAGGAGGCGGCAACAAGTGCCAAGGACGGCGCCAAGGAGAGCGCAAAAGAGAGCGACGTGAGTGCTAAGGAAAGTGCCAAGGGCGCGAAAGAGAGTGCCAAGGACGCAAAGGGCGGTGCAGTGTCCCCAGCCGGCAGGGAGGAGGAGGAGGAGCCCACGGAAGGACTGCTCAACATCTTCGCCACTCGAGAGGTCCGCACTCGCAACCACTGAGTCGCTCCTGAGTGAGCAACATGTTTGTGGATGGCTTGTCGTTCTCTCTGTGTAGTCTCTGTCCGAGCTGAATGATCTGGCCGAGAGGCAGAACCTGGTCCCACAGCTCGTCGGGTTGGCGCTAGACAGGCAGGTGAACGTGTTCGCCCCGACCAACGAAGCCTTCACGTCAGGGCTGCCGCCAGCTTTTCAGAGCATCTTCTCAAATCCACTGCAGGCCGACACAGTGGAGGTGGGTGAATCATGAGAAGATGGGATGGATGTACATCATGACGACACGCACAGACACGTGACATGGTTGGTGTTTGTTGACCTTCTCCATTCCACCCCTTGATCAGAAAATCCTCAACTACCACATCGTGGCCGGGGAGCGCCTCAACCTCGCGGACTTCCAACCCGGCACGGGCTTTGTGGTCCGCACTGAGAACAACCAGTCGCTGGCGATAAGCGCCGAAATGCCAAAGGACAGCGCCGCCCTCGAATTCACGGGGCGGAGGCGGAGGCGGCAGCTGCAAGATGGTGAGGGGGGCGTCCTGCCGCCCGTCGGCGACCAAGCGGCTGCCGGAGACAGCGAGGGTGACGAGGCAGATTCTACCGAGCGCTTGACGTTGAAGGTGAACTCGTTCGGCCTGACGGCGGACGTGCTAAAGGTCATCCCGGGTGTGGAGGGGACGGTGATTGAGACGGACAAGATCCTCCTTCCGCAATTTCACGACGGCGTCCCCACGCTTATCGACTGGCTGAGGGCGAGACCGGTGAGTGAGCGTGAGGACGCCGTGGCTGGCTGACCGACATACTGACGCGGTGTCATCTCATCTCATCTCATCTCATCGTGTCGCGTCGTTGTCTTTTTTCATGCAGGAGTACTCGAGGCTGGCCAGACTGGCGTCACTGGCTGATCTGACCGACCTCCTTCGTACGCAGGCGCAAACAAACGCTCATGACGCATGGCGGTGTGTGCAATCAATCCTGTCTCTGTGCGATCTTAGCTGGAGCGAACGTCGCGAATGCGGGCCCATTGACGGTGGTCGTGGCCCGGGACTCGGGCATGGTGATTCCCGAAGGCACCAGCGACCCAAATGCGATTCCCGGCGACCCGCTCCCTCTTTGCCTGCTGGACGCCCTCGTGAAACCGGAGAATAAGGACGCCCTCCGCAAAGTGTTCGACAAGATCATCATCGCGGGCGTCTGGAACCAAACCCTCCTGGCACAGACCTCGACACTCCCCAACTTGGGGAATCAAGGCCTGCCGGTCGAGCAGCGGGGCAGCCACTTCTACATTGACGGCAAGAAGATCATCGAATCAGACATCAAAATCGCCAACGGGGTGAGCGCCCCCACCACCCCACGCACCACCTAGTTCCCTTACTCACTGACTGACAGAGACGCGTGTGTGTGGATGTCATGTGCGCGCTGTGTTTGTCGTCGGTCAGATCATCCATGTGGTTGACCAGTTCCCCGTCCCCCTTGACATCGACGCGATCGATGTGGCTTTCTGGACGTGCATGGACCAGGGCCTCCGGTTCCTCAAGCCCGAGTGGGTCCGCCTGGGTTTGTCTTTCCTCGACCAAGACAAGAGTCTCCCCGTCATCGGGAGGGCGCCAGGTCAGCGGCCGGCGTGGGTGGCGTCCGACCTGCCGTATTACTACCCCCCTCTCCCCGAATTCCCCGCATCCAAGAGAGACATCCCGTCGACCAAGGAGCTCGAGTCCCAACTACGACCGCGGTTTTCCGACATAGGCAACGGCCATGGGCACAGCTACAGCAAGGGACATGACCACGATGGCCACAGCAAGGGACACGACCACGGCGGCCATGACAAGGGGCATGAACATGGTGGCCACGACAAGGGACAGCCACACAAAAAAGGCTACTAATCGAAAAGATCTGGGAACAGACACGGGATGGGTGGTCCATGAGTGAGACAGACAGACAGAGAGACAGACACTAAGTTGATTTGATTTGAGTCGATGGACGGGTGGAAGGATCGCTTGCTTGGCTATTTTTGATGAGCGGGCTGCTCTACCGAGGTAGCTAGCAGCATGCCCGGCTCATCGTCACTGAATGCTGTGGGTGGGTGAATGGGAGGGTCATCGATGGGAGTGGGCGAGGTGAGTGAGTCGGTTTTGGGCACTGGCACTGGCTCATGGGCCTGCCTGCCTTGTGGCTTTGTGTCGACTCCTTCGCTCTCTCCTTCGAATCAATCGCAGGCATACAGAAAGACAGACAGGACAGATGGATGGATGGATCGATAGAGCATAGAGCATAGAGCCCCTCCCCCCATGCGGTGCGTGCGAGTGCATCTGAGCCTTTTGGTGTTTGCCCGCCCTTGCGTGTCTGTCGTGTTTGTTTGTATGAGACACATACACGCAACGGTTAGCGGGCCAGGGGGAATGTATGGCTCGCTCACCTCTTTGCTCCTGTCCAGTCTGTGATAGCCACCAACGCTTCAGCCTAGCTAGCTACCCCGACAGGACAGGTTTTCTCGCTTTCTCTTGGCTCATCCATCTATCCAGTCACCATTCACTCACCTGTTGCTGCCTTTGCCGTCCGTCGTGATGCATTTCTTCTTATTCTTCTTCTGTCGCGTGTCGATCATCGATTGCTCAACTCAACCAGCGAGGCTTTTTTCCGGTCACATCACATCGCCCGTCCATCCATCCATCCAACCATCACACACTGACTGAAGCATACCGTGCCACGTGAAGACCAGCCATCCATCTGTGTGTGTGTGTGTGTGTGTATATATGTGTGTGTGTGTCACTGCGCAGCAGCAGCAAGCAGCTGGTCGGTCACTAGTAATGTAATGTGGGTCTTGTACTGTTCCGTGGCGGATGGGATGGGCTGGATGGATGGCCCGCTTGCTGGGTGTGTGGTGTGGTGTGGTGTGGTGTGGCATGCTGAGCGTATTTATGTCTCGTCATGCGCCCTAGCCAGTCAACTTGGCCCACTACCCTCTCTGTGCGATGTGTGTGGGTGGTGCGTGTGTGCGGGGGCGAGTGGGCGAATGCTGTGTGTTGTTGGTGTCGGTGAGAGGAGAGGAGAGGAGCTTGTCAACGCACCGTCTACTTGTCATGGACTGACTGTGTCTTTGTCAACAACAGTGTTCAAAGGCTCTGTGGCCACATTGAGTTTCACACCCACCCGCACACAGACAGCACTTAGTCCATCCATCCATCCATCCCCTCACAAACACTCTCACACACACATGTGCACGACACCAACCAAAGGCCACCCCACCCCACCCCACCCACCCCCTACACACACACACACACACACTCTCACACACATCCACTCACTCACACGCATCCACTCGCACACACAACACAACACAACACAGCACAGCACAGCACACGGCAGCGAAGAGAGGGTCTTTCCTTCCAGCATCCATCGAGTCAGTCGGCGGTCGAGTGAGCGAGGCATGTACATGTATGTGTGTGTGTGTGTCGTGTGTGCGCGCGCGTGTGTGTCGCGTGTGTGGCGGCTGCCCAGTGCTTCACGGGAGGCGGATGGGCACTCAGGAGGCTGCCGCTGGACTCGGAAGAAGACAGAGACATATCAGTCAAAAGGTCTCTCTTTCCTTTGAACACCCCGCCCCCACCACACCCCACACACCACACGACATCCACAGCCAGCGTAGGTAGTATTAGCAACAAGCCAGTCGCGTCAGTCCGCAGTCATTGCGCCAAGAAAACCGTTCCGCATATCATCAAATGTATGTCATCATCCCATCCAATGTGGCAGTGTGTGTGTGGCGTGTTGTGTGTGCGCCGTCGGGTCTCCCCGACCCGTGGGCACATCCATCGGATGGATGTGCCCACGGGTTGAGCGAGGGTGTTCTAAGCCCTCAGCTCGTCTGCCGCCGTGAGTGCTGTCTGTCTGTCTGTCCATCCTTCCATCCATCCATCCATCATCGGTATATCGGTCGGCCAGTGGTAGCACCCTCGGACGGCAGTGGTCATAGGAACCGTCAGTCTTAGAGACAGTGTGCGGACGACAGAAGGTAGGTAGGCAGGTATAAGAAAGTAGGAACGAAGAGCCACGCAGGAGGGATCGGAGGGGAAGGGAAGGAAAGGGCCCATCCATCGAATGACCAGTGGGTGAGTGAATGATGCAGACAGATGAGTGAGGGACGGACGCAGCCAGCCCCAAACTCTGATAGAGTGTGTGTGTGTGATGTGTGATGTGTGATGTGTGAAAGAGGGATAGCGCACGAGGGAAAACAGGACCGAGAGGATTAAACGTCGGGAGAAATGGCCCCTACTCGCTACGCTCGCGTATTCTCGTGTGTGGCCCTTGGACTTGTTCCCTCTCTCTCCCCCCTCCCCCCTGACATCAGCTCACGTAGACAGTAAGTAATAGTAGGAGGAGGACGGCAATCGATGGGTCGGTCGGTCAGAGACACACCAGGCGAGACACATCGGTTCCTTTCGCAGCAGTATTATGTGTCGCATGCAGAGGGACGGAGGGAGGGAGGGAGGGGTAGACATGCACTTCAAAACAGGAGTGAGGGAGGGAGGGACACAGGCGACACCTGAATGAAGGATGATATCGACACCGTATGGTCGCCATGCGCCATGAAGCATTGCATTCACCATGTCACATCCAATGGAAAGCCTCCGTGTGTGTGGACGCCGAGACCTCTCAGAAACCATCGAGGAAGTAGGCAGGTAGGTAGGTAAGTATCTTTCCTGTCTGTCTGTCGTATGTACGTGCCCGCACACTGGAAGAAGTATCGGATATAGAAAGACGTTCGGCGGCAGGCAGGCACCACCGAGATGGATGATGCCTACCGCCGGGCAGCTCATTCGGTTCCTCGAGGCTTGTTGTTGCGCGAAAAATCATAGCCTCACAGAGACAAAGAGTATCATCCAGGCAAATATTGTCCACCATCACGAGTAGGGGGCCAGTGTGGCGAGCGGCGAGTAGCATCGGCCAGAGGTACTGACGTAGTTAGTGAGATAGAGTGTATGTGAGTGTCGGTCGCATAGAGCACAATAGACCGATTCGTCGAGATTCACCCGAAGAGGAAAGAGAACACACCCATCCCACCACCTCTCTCTCTTTGATGCCCGTACACGTATAGCTTTCTCTCTCTCCCTGTGTGTGTGCAGACGAGTCAGTCGAACAGGCAGGCCAGGCCACCATCACAATATCAGCCAACGTTCACAGGGTACTGACGGGCGACACCGCGTCAGTGCGTCTCTAGTACCTTACTTATTACCTTTGTAGTGAGTGGGTCGGGTCGTCACGGGCAGACATAATATCATGGAGAGTAGATAGACATCCATCGGGGCCGATCCATCGATCCATAGGTAGGTAGGGTGTGAGAGGGGTGGGTGCATGTGATGGGTGGGTGTAGTCAGTGTGTTTTGTCGGTCGGTCGGTCGGTTGGTGGTAGAAAGGTAGGGAAATAGAGACAGGGAGGGACGGCAAAAAGAGCGACACGCCGAGTGAGTCGTGACAATTGTGAAAGGAACCCGTCAGGAGCGTGAAGTGGATGGGCCGGCCTCTCTCACAGTTGCACAGAAGATCGAAGAGCCTGCCCGCATGAAAGAGAGAAGGGCCCGGACAAAAACCTATAGTAATAGTGTGTGAGATCTGATCTGACCTGATCTGACACCTGTCTGTGAGCGTGTGAGCGTTGGGGTGTGAAAAGACGAGTAGACGAGCCGAGACGGCATACAAGTCAGTCAGTCAGTCTGGTTGGGGGTGCTGGCTGAAGGTGTGGATGTGTGTGTGTGTGTGTGTGTGTGAGGGCTGCCCAGTGGTCCCTGACGGGCGGATGGGCACTTGCGCGGGGCTGCCGCCCAGTCCATTTAAACACCTCACCACCACACACATCAAACACACACACACGTATACACGCTCGCTCACTCTTGTGTGTGATGGTGTGTGCAGGGGATGGATGGATGAATGGTTGGATGGAAAGACCCTCTCTTCCCTGCTCCATACAATCATCGCAAGAAAGGCCCCCTCATAGCTACTGGGCTCACTCGCTCTAGAATGCGGTCCTTTCGCCGTCCGAATGCCTGTGTGTCTGGGCTCTCGTCACGGATGAGAGAGCCGCAAACAGACGGGCACGCAGGCAGCAGAAAAGAAAGGCTTTCACAGAGAGAGATTTGGACAGACCGCTGTGCACATCCATCCATCCAGCCGTCAAGCTATCTTTCTATGCGCTGGGCAAAAGTGCGAGAAAGCGGCCATCCGACAAATCATGCACTGCACTAGAAGTCGTGGAGACACCGCATCACTCCACACACACACACACACACACGCCCGCCCACCCATCCACGCATCCCTCAGGCAGGCATGCAAAGGCTACACTCCTCCCGTCCCGTGTCCTAATTAAACACCGGTAAGATCTGCCACACACACACAGAGAGAGGGAAAGACATGATAACCTCCCTCCCTCCCTCCCTCGTGTCTGTGTGTACCTCTCCATGTACCTGTTGTGCTATCTATCATCGTATGTATCAGAAGTGTTCGACTCTGAATTTCCACACGCCTGTCTGGCAGCAGTAGTCGATGAAGGTGGCGTCCTTGCGCTCCGTCATGAGCTGGATCTTCCGGCGGTACCGCTCCATGGCGGCCGTGTCGGACAGCGTGCCCTCGTGCTGCGTGGGGGGCGGCCAGCACTGGTACATGGTCACCGTCGCCGGCCTGTTGAGGCCGTGCCCCACCTCGGGCTTGCGCACGCTGCTGTTGCTCGGGTACACCAACACCTCACCCACCTCCAATCGAACAACCTGCCCACACACACAGACAGAGACAGAGACAGACAGAGAGACAAAGAGATGAGACGAGCATTGATGTGTGTGTGTGCGTTGTGTGATGGAGTGGGTGGGGTAGGTGTACTGTGCTGACCTCGTCGAAGTCGATTCCTCTGCAGTCGGTGATGCCGTGGAACTGGATGGAGCCCACTCCCTCGCGCGATATCTTCAAATCCATCACCGCCCCCTTCTCATCCTCACTCATCACACGAAGGTCGGGCTCGAAACTCAGCACTACCTTCCCACCGCCACTCGTCACTGTGGCCTCCGCCCCCCGCACTGACGACCCCCTCTGCCCCGCCCCCTCTCCCCTCCCCTCCGTCTCCTTGCTACGACTACGGTGGCATTGCTCACGACTTTCGCCGAGTGGGTGTTTGGCGATGGTCGCCTCTCGTATGGCCCGCTCGAAGGTCAGAGTGGTCTGCACGGGGGGGCTGGCCATGTGTTTGCGCGTCTGCAGGAGCATGGCAACGGCGCGCACCCAGAGCGCCAGGAAGACGAACTTGGTGGTCTCGAGTGCCGTCTCGTCCCACTCGTGGCTGGCCAGGTTCCTGCGGATGGCCTGGTAGTCCTTTTTCTTGACGCTGTTGAGGTCGAAGGTGTGGAGCTTGTCGGCCAGGTTGGGGAGGGCGAGCACTTTGCGGACGGCGAGGGGGCGTGTGTCGGTGAGGGGGACCGAGAGGAGGGTGGCGAGGGTCTCAAGGACGATGCGCGAGGCAGCGGGGGGCTGCTTCATCTGACGCAACTCCTGCACTACGCTACGCGACAACTGATGGATGGATGGATCCAACACACACACACACAAAGAGAGGAAGGAAAAGCGATGTGAGCAGTGTGTCCGTGTGGTCTCCTTTTATGTGTTCGGTCACCCACCCACCTTATCTTTGCAGAATTCCATGACCAACAGGGCGTTCTGCTCCACACTCTCCCCCTCCCCCATGCCCATCATGCCCATGCCCATCCCCTCCCCCTCATGTGCCAGCGGCACCCCATTGGCCAGCGCCTCACCAGCACCACCAACACCAGCACCACTATCTACGACGCCGAAGCCATTGACCACATGCCCCTCCCCGCCCCCTCCCGCCCCATCTCCTCCATCCATCTCTCCATCTTCGCCCATCTGCTGCTCGTACTGAGGCGCGTGCACGGGCTGCTCGTATGGGTAGCCGGCCGGCACGTGTGCGGGGAAGTTATTCTCGATGAGTGGGGGTGCGTGTGTGGACGCCTGCATGGCGAGTGTGCCGTACATCTGTGGGTCGTACTGCGTCTCGGCGTTGGTGTAGGTGAGCAGCGGCTGGTGGTGCTGCTGCTGGTACGGATGGCTGGGAGGGACGACGGGGGGCGGGGCGAAGGCCATGCCCTGCTGCATGCCTTGCTGCTGCTGGTGTGGGTGTGGAGGCTGGAAGGACGGCGAATCGTCCGTGTACGGGGGCGGCTGCTGCTGGTGCTGCTGGTGGTGTTGGGTGAACGAGGTGAGGAAGGTGCCGCCCGTCTCGTGTTTACCGCCTGCCCCCCCTCCATGGATGAGGGGATCGTCGCCGCCCGCTACCGTCCGTCGGGGGCCGTGCACCTGACGGTCTCGGAACAACTGAGAGTTGCGCTCTGAACCCCCACACACAAGACACAGACAACAAGAGAGAGCAGAAACAGATATATGAGCCCCCAGTGGCCGGCCTCCCTCTTTCGCCCCCCTCGTGTGGTGTGCGTCCTTTCTCACCCTGTAGGTGTTGTTTGGACCATTTCTCGCTCTGCATTGCCAGCGACTTGGCGGTCTTGAGATTCTCCACCTCTCTAGCCAGGGGGTCACTGGGCAGGACGGAGAGGGCGGGCTCCTCCGGCCATGGGTGCGGGTGAAGGTGGGGAGGGCCGGTGGTGGCATGGTGGTCCTCTGTGGCAGTGTCTTGTGTCTGCTGTGGGGGTGGCTGCTGCGGCTGCTGCTGCTGCTGCTGGTGCTGCTGCTGTGTGGTGGCGGTGGTGAGCTGCTGCCCTTGGAGGGACAGAGAGGTCACTGGACGTGACGCATGCGACTTGAGAAGAGGGGCCTGAACCAACAACACACCCAACACACCCAACACACCCAGATCCATGCAGATGGACGTGTCTGTGTGTGATGCGTTCCCGTGTGCCCGGCCCATGTGCGCATGTAGGTACCTGTATCATGGCAGGCGTGATCAGGGGGTTAGCTGTGGTGGGGTAGAAGAAGGGTCGCCGCCCCTCCTGCACCGAAGTGCTCACCATACCCCCAACACCACCACCACCAGCAGCCGGACCCACTACCCCACCGGCCACACCGCTACAGATCCCCTCCTCTCTCCCGCCCACCACACCCTCTCCCTCCCTCTGCACCGCCCCGACCCCCTGCTGACCCTGCGGACCCTGGGGGCCCTTGTTCGGATCGGACGTCGAGCGGGCTACCTCGTTCACTACCTCACCTCCCACCTTTCCCTGACCCGTCATGCCGCCGCCAGTGGCCGTCACCCCTCCCCCTCCCCCTGCCTGGATAGGCATTGGCGTGAACCGTCCTCCTGGGCCACCAGGGCGGCCCGGTACGCCAAAAGGACCAACTACCCCACCAGCAGCAGCAGGGGGTGGTCGGAACACCCCCGGCAGCATGGACAAGGTCTGCGGGATGGATGCGACGCGTGGAGCGTTGGGCACTGCCGGCGGGGGGACGAGTTTGGTGGCGCTAAGCGGCGCCATGCGATGCGATGCGGGCGGAGGGACCATCACAGGACGCGGCGGACGCCACGACTGCGAATTCGCGAAGGTCTGCATACCACCGCCATGAGCCGCAGGTACGGGTGGGCGCACGCCCTCGGGCATTGGTGGGCGTGGAGGGCGGAGCCCGAAGAGCGCCGAGTGCGTGTTGGGCATGCGGGGGTGGAAGGGACCGCCTCCGGCTCCCTGCTGACCGGTGGGATCTGGGATCTGGCCGGTGGATGACGTCTGCTGCGGCGCATTGGGCGGCGGCGTGGGATGGCTACCGGACGAGAGGCCGATCTGACGCTGAAATGAACGGAAAAGAGAGAGATCCAGGCAAAGGAGAGAGAGAGATGGTTGCATCCTCCACGTGTGCCACCGCCATCATGAGATCTGTGTGTGTTATTCTCACCTGCGGCCATTCGGGTACGGGGGCGGGTGGCGGAGGCCTCTGGTATGAAAACGTGTGCAGCATGATGTTTGATGATCCCGAGAAAAAGCGCTTCAAACAAATCTCATCGTTCGCGATTCGGCCAGGGTCAGAATGAAACGCCAAACAAATTTACATGGCTCCGGCTCGTGGCGTAGAATGGACGCGAAGGACCTAAATCGTGTTGAGGAGGAGCTGCTCAGCCGACTGGTGCAGCGGGCGGCCAACCCCGCCGCTCCCGCGGCATTCGTCGGCAAACTGTTCAAGTGGGTGACGAGGGCACGGGGAAACGGAGAGATCTGGACGGAGATGGATGGAAATGAGCTTCATGTGGCTTCCAATCGCCCCCAGGTACCATGATCTTGGGGACACTGGCCGGTGCGACTTCGCGAGGTTCAAGAAGAGCCTGGAGCCGTACGCTGGACATCTGCCAGACCATGTGTGTGAGAGGAGAGGAGAGGAGAGGAGAGGAGAGGGGAGAGATGGCGCAGGGAAGGCCTGGTATGTTATGCGGTTTGGTTTGTTCCATGGCCATCTGTCTGTGCAGGTGATGCAGCAGATCTTCAGTCGGTATGCCGGGGGCGATGTCAGCGCTGCCATGCCGTACCGCGACTTCGCTGTCGCATTCTGCAGGTACAGTAGGCACTGCCCGCGCACATCGGATGCATCACCAGACCACGCACTCCTTTGTCGGTGTACGTGTTGGTTCCATGGTTGCAGTGGGAAGGTCCGCGGCAGCGACGAGTTGGCGCAGACGGGGAAGATCGCCACACTGCAGGGGTGGGTGGGGTGGTGGGGAGAGGATGCGACATATCTTGCACGACGCACACACCTGACCTGAGAGGATGCGTCCTTGCGTGTGTCGTTGTTTGCAGGCCGGGTGGCCCATCTGTGGGGGAGGCCAAGCTGGACACGGCCTCCATCCCTGCGGCAGACCAGCTGGTGCAGAGGATGAAGGACTACATAGCCGATACGGTAGGTACGGGCGGTACATGACACACAGGAAAGGGTGTCTGCATCCTTGTGTGCGGTTTCCTGTCCTGTCCCTCAGGATCCGTATGCGTTGGTGCGTTTCGCCCTGGAGTTCACAGACCATGACGTAGCAAGTGAGAACACACACACCCACCCAGGGCCTGGGGGTGGGAGGGGGGAGGGGGGAGGGAGTGTGTGTGTGCGTGTGTGTGTACGTTGCTGTGGGTGTATGGGTCGTTCAGATAGCCGCATGATATCGCTGCAAGACCTGATGGTGGTCCTGCGCCGCGGCACCGTCGCACGGCTCGAAATCGACTCAGATGACACCAAACTGGCACACAACTACACCATATCAGACACATACACAGGCAGGACGGACGTGTGTGTGGGTTCTGTATGTGCAGCTGTTCACTCGTTTCCGCGCCCCGCATCACAGCGGCTCCTTCGCATACGACCTGCTCATCGCCGAGCTCAAGGTGGGTGGCTGGGAGGATGGCCGGGGGCCAGGCAGAGGGCGTGCACACGCATACGGATGGATGGATGGATGGATCGGTTGGCTGCAGGCTGCTCTGAGCAAGGCCGTGTGGGATGTGGTGCGCGAGGCCTTCCGTCGCCTCACTGTAGGGAAAACCGCCTTGCCCCCCCCCCCCCCCCCCCCCC